TGGTCTTCCCCATACAGTAATACCCCGCTTTACGCGTTTTTTTTACTTGTTTCTACATTTACGCGGTACCCCGCCAGAACCGGAATGTTCACTTTACGCGGTGAATACAGGTACTCGTATACGCGGGAAGCGGCGTGGGCAGGGTGAGCACAAGGTCGCCCAGTCATCAAAACATTACCGAGTTCTTCACCTGCCACAGCCGGCCCAAGTCAGTGATAGTGAGGATATGGACTTATTATGGACTTTGAGGGGTTTGACAAAGAGGCCCTGCAAGCCTCTGTGGTGGATAGTGATACAATTGATACAAGTGACACAGGTGAGGGCCAATAATCTGCCCTCTGCCTCGGAACCAACCCCCCATCCCCGTGTGCCCAGCCATCTTTTCTACTAATGTAAGTGTTAAAAAACCTAATATTATTGATATTTCTCTTAATTATTAATTGTGTGTGCATACCATCATAAAATTAGGAAGTTATTTTTACTACAACGTAGGTATTGTGTCTGAAAAAGTGGAGTTTCGGGGTCGGCCCGGTCTCTATTTCAATTAATCCCATATGTTATGTTGTTCACTTTACGCGGGCCGCCGTGGGTTCAATTGACCGCGTAAAGTGAGGGTTCACTGTATGTATGTATGAATGTATATATATATATATATATATATATATATATATATATATATATATATATATATATATATATATATATATATATATATATATATATATATATATATATATATATATATAAGAAGGTTCCAGAAGGTCGTTCGTTAACCGAAACCATTGTTTCAATGGGTTTTTGGGTAATTGGTTCCAGCTCACCGAAAATTTCCTAAATTCAACAAAAATGGTAGAAAAGTTCACTTACTTTGAGGTGTGTATGTAGAAGGCTCCTGGATGATGATGATGATGATGGGATTTAGAATGGGGGTGGAGGAGAAGGAAGAAGAGAAGGCATTGGGGTGGAAGAGAAGTCACCCCATGGTGCCATTTCACCCATAAAATTTTAGCTCTCTGGTTTAATTCAAGATTATTTTCTTTAAATCAACGCTGCACTGCATTATATATTGTCAATATATAAAATATATTTCAAAATGACCAATAATTTGCTTGGAAACACAGAAAAAAAGCGTTTAGTTGAAGAGAGTCTCAAGCAAGATGTTACCTCCAGTGAAAACAGAGAGAGACTGACGCCTGTTTGCTGTGTTAAGAGGCTGGATGCCGCGCATTAAACTAGTCACTTTACCTTCAATTTTGTTCAATAATTGTTAAAATGACTAAAAAATTGAATATTAAACTTTTAAAATTATTGAATAGTATAAACTTCTTGATATTTACAAAAATAGTAAGGAATTTAAGCCCTAGAACCGATTAATGTATTGGCGGACTGATACTAAAGCTGGTTGCCCGGTCAGTGCAAGCGAAAACATGTTGAGGTCGGTTCGTAAGAAGTTCGTTAAGCGAATTTTTTTTCGTTAACCGAATTGAAGATCCTCATGGAAGGCAGTTCGTTAATCGAAATTACGTTAACCGAGGTGTTCGTTAAACGAGGGGTCACTGTATATATATATATGTGCAAGTAAATCAAAACTGTAGGTGCACGTGATCCAAGTATATGCTGATAACCACAAGGAAACAAGAAAACAAGAAGTTCCCAATAGCTTTCATGTCAATTCACATCTTCAGGGGTGAGTACAGACTAAGGAGTAATACTTGACAAGGCTAATATATACAGTAGAGGAGAGTGAGATCAAGTCCCTAGAGGACAGCAGGTGTCCACTCTCCTCTATTGTATATATTAGCCATGTCAAGTATTTCTCCTTAGTCTGTACTCACCACTGTAGATGTGAATTGACACGAAAGCGCGCTTGGGAACTTCATGTTATCTTGTGGTTATCAGCATATATATATATATAGTCAACCCTCGCTTTACGCGTTTCCACGTTTACGCAGTACCCTGCCGTAACCGGAATGCTCACTTTCCGCGTGTGTGTACCCTTTTACGCGGAGAGCGGCGCGAGCAGGGTGCGCACAAGGTCGCCCAGTCATCAAAACATTACCGAGTTCTTCACCCGCCACCGCCGGCCCAAATCAGTGATAGTGAGGATATGGACTTATATGGACTTTGACAGAGAGGCCCTGCAAGCCTCTGGTGGATAGTGATACAATTGATACAGGTGAGGGCCAATAATCTGCCCTCTGCCTCGGAACCAACCCCCCATCCCCGTGTGCCCAGCCATCTTTTCTACTAATGTAAGTGTTAAAAAACCTAATATTATTGATATTTCTCATAATTATTAACTGTGTGTGCATACCATCATAAAATTAAGAAGTTATTTTTACTACAACGTAGGTATTGTGTCTGAAAAAGTGGAGTTTGGGGGTCGGCCCAGTCTATTTCAATTAATCCCATATGTTCTGTTGTTCACTTTACGCGGGCCTCCATGGGTTCAATTGACCGCGTAAAGAAGGGTTACACTGCACTGTATACTTACTGATTTGTTTACAATTAGCTGGAACCGAAAAATCAATGTTCTTATGCATGTCTATATTTTGTTGTCTTATGACCATTTTAAACATTTACATAGCCCAGTTTATAAATTGAAACTGCCAAATCCATTAGTCTGAAATCTGTTGTGCAATGTTTGTGTGATGGAATAACCTACTTATGTAATGAGATGGAACCATTTTAAAGCCTGCATTACATTTCCCGCTTTCACTGCACTTGCCTACAAGATTTACATAATCTTTTTTTGTAATCATAGAAAGCTAAATTGCATGGTATATAGAATAATACCTGTAGGTATGGATTATCTCTTGTATTGGGTGTAAGTAAACTTGGGTACAACTTATATCGCGAGTTGGGTAGGGGTTATCTTGGGTACAAGTCGACTTTTTTGGGTACGAGTTGACCCTAACCCGAATCGTGTGGTCAGCCTCCACAAGAATATAAATGGTATTATTGCGTTTACACACCGTTCATTCCTACCACTAATCTATCACATATTCGAATAAGACGTCTAATTATAAGATAATTTTCATCTATTACATTACCGGCGGAAATGTATAATAACGGAGATAGCTTACCCAAAATTTTCTATTTTCTTCTATTAATCTTCCTCCATTATCGCCTGCCTCTCCTCCAACACTGCGTGTCTCCTGCGTCTCCTTCATAAATCATCACGCGCATGCGTTCCCATACACGTCCAATCAAAAGCGTTTTTGAAATGAATTTAAATGATTTTGGGTTTAATTCGTGGTATATTTGGCCCAAACAAATTCGAGTTTAATTTGGGTCCCATATTTCGAAATTCAAGTTCAGTTCCGACCATGGAAGTCTGCGATGGGTGTCAAATTATATGGAGCTGATAGCGAATTTTTTTGGAAAAAATTGAAAAAACTATAGCATTTTTTCGTTTGCATGGTGTTCTTCCAACCTCAGTAAAGTGTACTAAGAGCAAGACAATGTAAATATCGCAAAGACCAACATATGTGGCGTTGTGTAAGAATCTCAGAATCCAATGACGAACAAGAACCAGGCCAATAAGGTAAGAAAGAGGTGATTCCAGCATATGGTGAGTCAGTTCAGTTAGGTTAGGTTTTTGTTTTTCTAGTGTTTTTTGGTGCATTTTGCCATGATTTTATTTCGAAAAACGTCCAACGAAAAAAAAAATCGCTAAAAAACCCCATATAAATAGCTGTTAAGAGTATTTCTTACCTTACTGCGAGTCAAGGACCAGAATACGTCGTGGTTTCCTCTGTTCTCTAGTTTCATTATTTTTAGAATGAAATAATGCAATAAACTTCCAATAATCGAAATCGCACCCAGCACAACAGGGCTCCATATCGTAACTGATTAAAAATGTCCCGCATCTTAGCACCCATGATGAATACATAAGAACATAAGGAGTCTGCAATAGGCCGATTGGCCTGTGCATGGCAGCTCCTGTCGAAAGTTACTACCACTCTCTATCATCCATGAATCTATCTAGCCTCCTTTTGAAACTTTCCAGAGTTCCCACACTTACTACAAAGTTGCTAAGCTTGTTCCAATCGTCCACCACCCTATTTGTGAACCAGTTTCTTCCTATCTCCCTCCTAAACTTAAACTTATCCAACTTAAATCCGTTGCTCCGAGTCCTATCCTGCTCGGATATTATAAGAACTTTTTCTATATCCCCTTTATTGATTCCTTTCACCCAGTTAAATACTTCTATCATATCTCCCCGCACTCTTCGTCTTTCTAGGGAATGCAAGTTAAGTTTCTTTAACCTATCCTGATATGGAAGGTTTCTAAGTCCCGGAATCATTTTCCACTGCACCGACTCTAGTGAATTGATATCCATTCTATAATAAGGGCACCAGAACTGAAACACATAATCGAGGTGCGGCCTGACTAGCGCAAGATATAGTTGCAATAAGACCTCTGCACTCTTATCACTTACACTTCTAGATATAAAACCCAATACTCTGTTTGCCTTATTTCGAACATTAATGCACTGTTTTTTAGGCCAAAGGTCTGGGCTTACAAGTACCCCTAGGTCTCTTTCACAAGTCGACTTCTCTAGGTTGATGTTGTTAAGGCTGTATAAATTATCAATATTTGTTCTTCCAATATTAAGTACGCTGCACTTGCTGGTGTTGAATTTCACTTGCCATTTGAACATTAATTGGTCGAACCAAGTTATTTTTTTATTGGATCAATCTTATCAGTCGTCAATATTAACCAAAATGAACGAAATTTAACAACTTCTCGTGGTAGCAGTGCTCTCATACATTACCGAAAAAATTAAGGAAATCCAACAACTTCTGGTGGTTGAGCTGTTCTCAGACATTACTCTTCTATGAAATTTTCCAAATTAGGTTAGGTTTGGTAAGGAAACGTCATAGAAGTGTCCTAGAATTGTCTATACTATTGATTGCAAAGATAAAATTCCCGAGATTCGGAGCGTGGCAACAAATGCAACTTCCCAAATCAAAAGTGTTACACCTTGATCTTACCTTTCCACAAAAGGTGCAAGTGTGTCTCTTGTGTTGGGTGATTTCCATCTTCTTCACCATTTTACGAAGTGAGGCACCATAACGGGTACCATACTTGCCCACGATACCAGCTTTCTTCGTTCTCTTAGCCTTAGGAATAATAATAAGTACAGTATATGAGAAAAGTAGGTCCCTATCAAAATGTAAACAAATCCACACTCAATTCTTCAGCCTTAGTCTTTTAAATAACAAAGAAATAGTATAAATGTACAATGCTTATGAACACAGAAGTGTCCTCTATTAATTAAATTACAATTTTAACACCATTATCTAGTAAGATGCTTTCGATATTTGTCGATATTCCCATGCACCTCACTCACCATGGTCGTCCGTTTGTTTTGGTCTCCGGAAAGGACGGCGGCGGACGCTAAACGCTCGACAACAAGAATATCCACATTGATATTTTTAGCGTAAAAAGAAAATAACAAAATAACAATACAGTATATATATATATATATTCAGAATTCTTAATGAAAGTTATAAATAACAATGAAGGACTAAGAGTTAATGGTGAATTAATATAAAATATACATCAGACATGCAGATAATACTGTTCTTATCGGTTGAAGAAATGGCTGCTGTGATATTATAAGAACTTTATCTATATCTCCTTTATTGATTCCTTTCATCCACTTAAATACTTCTATCATATCTCCCCGCATATTACGCTCATTAGCCCACAAAACATGTACCTATGCCTTCTTTATTGAGTCTCCCATCTGAGGTATCCGTTTTCTCATCGCTCCCAAGCTTGGGTGCCGTCCATTTTCTCTGACTTCCTGAAACCAACCTCTCTATAAAGTGAATTTGTATGTAAAAGAGAACACCATTCAAGATCCTTTGTGAGTGATGTTGAAAGCTGCAACTGTCTTTATTGTTAGTAACACTTGTTAAGTGAGTGTCGAGTCTGCCAGTATGAATGGCATCCCATGATATTGTGTCCCTGGGGATAACCATGAATTTCCAATTGCTACTGAAGTTAGATTATTTTGATGCCCAGACATCAGAGAATCTGATATTTGTAGTTTAGTTAGTGTCAGTTGTCTATTTAAGAAAGTCATTAATCTCCTGAACTATTCTGTCAACCTGTATAATTGTGGGGGTATGAGATATTGGTTCACACTCAGGATGGGATGGAGAAAGGAAACTCACAATGTGTTCACTGTATACATATTGTATTGGATGTATAATGTAGCTTGTTGCTGGGTAGGTAGCATGGTAATAAGCGTTGAGTAGAGAGAGCTGGGTGGTGAGGGTGCCCAGAGTGAGGGCACGCGGCTTGAGGGACGCCAAGGTCGCTGGCAGGAGCGGCAGCCTCCAGGCTGGCGCAGAGGAGGAGGTGTTGCTTGCTGATGGCACTGTGTAGAAAAAGGAGCTGTTTACAGCGGTGTCAGGCCTTATAAGGCGGGGGTAGGCGTGGGTAGATAGTTGATCCCTGCTCCGTGGGCAGCGCTGGAGGCGTAGGCTGGGGAATTCGAGAAGGTTCGGTGCTTGTAGGGGAGGAATCCACTACATAATCTCCAAAATCTAACGTAACCCTGTGAATAGTTCCTTGTTCACAGCCTTGCTGAGTTTGTGAAACTAGTGTTAACAGCGTGTGTATTTGACGTCCATTTTACTTTTTCCTGGCAAGCCCAATCTCTGATTAGATTATAAAAATAGAAGTAAGAAATTCACCTGACCCATGGCATTGATTTTCATAGTTAAATGTACAGCAACTGAGTTGAATGTAATTTCTGTCATTGCGTGATTTGCCTTTCTGGCATGTGTGGCGCACAGGCCTGAGTTGCCAGTTATCCGTATATAAACTCGTGCATGTGGGGCAGCGTTACATCCACGATTCGCCAGCCAGCCTTCGCCGGGAACGGACCTCTTGTGGGCTTGTGTTATATTTGGTTCACACTCAGGATGGGATGGAGAAAGGAAACTCACAATGTGCTCTCTGTGTACATATTGTATTGGATGTACAGTGCAGTTCGGTGCTGGGAAGTGGCAGCTTGGTTACAAGCGTGATGTAAAGAGAGCTGGTTGGTGAGGGTGCTCAGAGGAGGACCAGCTTGTGGGTCGCCTGCGGGAGCGAGGGCCGCCAGGCAGGAGTGGAGGAGGAGGCGTTGCTTGAAGACTGGCTTTAGGTAGAAAGAGGTAGGTCACCACGAGGTGAGATCTTATATAGCGGAGGTAGGCGTGGCTTAATAATTGACCTCCGTCATGTAAGGCGACGCTGGTTGACCTAGACCACGAGGCATACACTGGGGAATTCGCGGGGTCGGCTACTCAGAGACAAAAGCGTTTGTAGGGGAGGAATCCACTACAATACTTCCCCTTCCCTCCAGGCGGTGTAGTAGATCTGTTGTCTGCAGGGTTGCATGGCACATGTGAGGCAGAACGGGCGGTGCAAGCCACATGTGAGACATAACGGCGAGGGCGTGGATGAGCCGGCCGCTAGGGGAGACAACTGTCTAGACACACGAGATCTGTGGGAGAAGAAAGGGAGAAAAAGGGTGTGTGGGGGCGATTAATGTTGTGCTTCCCTCGCAGCAGGTACAGAGTCCTCACATGCGCCTACTGGGGTGTGTGGGTCTGGGTCAGAAGGTCCATGACAGCAGCAGGGTGCCTGACAGCATCAGGGTCCACGACAGCAGCAGGGTGCAGGACAGTAGCAGGGAGTGCCTGAGGGAAAAAAAACGGTGTGTGGGGGCGATGAATGTTGTGCTTCCCTCACGGCAGGTACAGAGTCCTCAGATGCGCCTGCTGGGGTCAGTAAGACGTGGTGCTTGGGGCAGGAAGTGGAGCTGGTGTCTGCTTAGAGAAGCAGTGCTGCTCTAGGGTGTCTAACCTGCGGTGTAGAGACAGTAGCTGTAGAGCCGATGAGAGCTGCCTCTGTGTGGATAAGCCAGTCTTCCATATTGCTTGAAGACTGGGAGAGTGATCGGTTTCTCCTCCATCCTGTGTGAGTGCGAATCTCTGGGTGTCACCATTTGTGGGGTTTCGTGATATATTTGGTTCACACTCAGGATGGGATGGAGAAAGGAAACTCACAATGTGCTCTCTGTATACATATTGTATTGGATGTACAGTGCAGCTTGGTGCTGGGAAGTGGCAGCGTGGTTACAAGCGTGATGTAGAGAGAGTTGGTTGGTGAGGGTGCTCAGAGGAGGACCAGCTTGTGGGTCGCCATGGTCGCCGGCGGGAGCGAAGGACCGCCAGGCAGGCGGAGGAGGAGGAGGTGTTGCTGGCTGGTTGGTGTAGGTAGAAAGAGACAGGTCACCACGAGGTCAGGTCTTAAATAGCGGGGGGTAGCGTGGCTTAGTAGTTGACCCCCACTCCGTGTATGGCGGCGCTGGTTGACCTAGACCACGAGGCACACACTGTGGAATTCGTGGGGTTGGCTACGCAGCGACAAACAGCGTTTGTAGGGGAGAAATCCACTACACTCTGAAGGCAGACATTGAAAAAAAAACGAATGACTTAAAGTAGAAGAAATAAGTAAGATAAAAAACTACATGCACGTAATGAAGATTTGTTTCAAAGAAACAGCTATGGCAGACAAGGTCCTCCAGTGCGGTTTTTTAGCGTGCAACATGTCGATATCCCCTCATCAAATAAAAAGGGAAAAATACACCAGTCTCCTGATATGTTTCACATGCTACAAATATGAAGAGCATACCACAAGAGACTGGCCTGAAAAAGAAAAGAAATTCTGCTCCAACTGTGCAGAGGAAGGACATGTTTATACGCAGTGCAACAGCACCAACAAAGGCTGCATAAACTGCAAAAGGAACGGGTACGTGCACCACACCCACCCAACCATGGCCATATCCTGCCCCATCAAAAAGACCCTTATCAAATACAAGCAAGAGCAGGAAGACCAACGAGAAAGGATGAGAGACCAAAGCACATATGCTGAAATAGCAAAGAGGGCCGTGAAAGAGGCAACAAACCATAATCAAATTAAGTGACACTGATCATTTCAAGGTAATGGTGAGCATGCTACATGCTCACCTTCATAATATCATAGCCCCAGGATCATATGCAGACGAACTCAATAGGATGCTTGAAATAAACAACATGCTACAGATGAACTTTCCTGAAAACCCAAACTCAGCAAACTTGTTACAAGCCACCAGCACCCCAGAGTTTACAAAACACTTCAGACAACGATTATCCACGCCCAAGGACACAACATCATCAACAGACCAGGATAACATACCGGAAAAAGCGGAACAACTTTGAGATTTGAGTGAGAGGGCGAGAGACCCAAGACTGACACAAGGAATGGGAGCGAAAAGGAAATCAGCGGCCAAGAACAATAAAAATGAAATGGAAATCGACTTCTCAACAACAACTGCCCCCCCCCCCCCAGTGCTTGAAGAAGCAACTGATATACGGCTAAGGTTTTATCAAACCTCAAGAATACCATACCCACCACACAGAAAACCAACTGGAAAATTAATTGAAGACTTAGTAACGGCTAACGAAATAGTATGGCAATACACAGACGAACGGTATGACAAAGAAACCGTGTGGAACATGATTAAAAAAGACCAAATAAAATTCGGCACAAAAGATTTTATTGTAATCACGGCAGCTGAACTCAAAAGGAAATCATCGGGACTCGACGAAATGAGATCACCTTCTCAACTTCAGCCTTCCAAGAAAAAGAAATAATGGACCATCTCTTTACTGTATGCATCGTTGGTCAGTAATATACTGTTTGATTTTGTTGGTGTTTATTGTCTCAATACAGAAGGCACCAATACCTGAAATGTACAGAACAGGAATTAACCCACATAGGCTACACCATCTCACACATATACTAGTACACAAACTCCAATGACTATACGCTTGGAACAGTACATCTTCCCCTCCCTTTTATTCATGATGACAGTTCTGTATTGCCGTTCTCTTTAGTTCCATGAACGGCCGGGTTTATATTCGTCGCTTGTCTCTCCATCCATTTCGGAGTCATCAACTTCATCCGTTCCAGAGCTTTCACTTCCATCCGTTCCGAAGTCTTCAGCTCCATCCTGGTATTTCTTCGGTTTTACTATAGTACGACGTGGTCGCCTAGCAGCGAGTGGTTCCTCCTCGCTGTTCCCGTCCAGCCTGGACTCGTCCACCCCTGTCCTCGGCGTGTTGGCAGCTTGGTTGTTCTCCCGGTTTCGATGGGTGTTGTGTGGCGGTTCTCTCAACCCCGTTTGTGGCTTCCGTCTGTATCCTGTCTCTTAATCATTTCCTCCTTGGCATCTCCCTGGAACTCTTCTCATCTGGGATAATGCTCACGTAATATCTTCTTGGGCCTCTCGCTGTAGAATAGCTAAATTGCCTCGCCCTTTCACTTACCGTCCACGGTTTAGGATCATAATTAGCTGAGGCTTGTCTTTCTTGGTTTTGTTTCAGGAGCCTTGATCAGTTGGTCTCAA